GGGTTGGGAGGTACCGGGAAGAGGCCAGTGCAGCCTCGGGCCCTGAGCCCACAGTAGGCAGCCTGCCCTCGCCCCACGCACAGATCTGAAGGGCACGAGCTCCCTATGCCTCCCCCAGGGATGTGCACAGCGGTGGGGAGCTGCCCCCCCCTTCTGTGGCCTCTCCCCACCCTCCCACCCCCCTGGATTTGCTGCCCACAGCTCTGTCCTATGCCCCAGCCCAATTCCTTCCCACATCATGGGGGCCTTGATCTCCTTCCCCCATGCCCTCTTCCTCCCACAGACTTACTGGCTGGACACTGGTCTCCAAGCTGCTGGGGTGCATATTGGCAGTCAGAGCAGTATCAGCCAATGTGGCTGGTTAAGAATTGGCCATTGGTATTGGGCAAAAAAATCTTTATTGGTGCATCCCTAGTGTCAAATGTATAACCTGTGGGCTGGATCTGGCATGAGATCAGCTGTATCTGGCTCACCAAACCACCACAGGTTGGGGATGTGAGCGGTGGTAAACTGCTGTGAAATCTGGGGCCCTGCTGTCCTAATGGATGTGGCTGTTGGCGGCAGCCAGATGAGTGCGGCATATGCAACACATCCCTCAGTTGCCACCTTCTGCCATGGCAAGCAGCTGCCTGGCCTATGGCTGCTTGCCCATTTCTGCTGTAGTGATCACAGCTGCTGCTATCACTCTTTGGTCCTGGCCAGATCTGGCCTGCAGGGAGATCCATGCTCTGAATCCAGCTCAGGGCCCCAGGTGAGTTTGGCAGCCCTGGCTTAAATTTCTTGCAGTCAAAAGAGTCACTCCTAGCTGGTCACAGTTTTGAAGTCTGATCATTTTGATACTGTAAGAGGAAAGTTTTGGGAGTTTAGACCCACATGAACTATATTTAAACCCTGAATACTACAGAAGTTATTGGTATTCAGGTTGTAGCTGTATTGGTCTAGAGGAAAAGGCAATCGGGACTGGTAGTAGAGGTGATATCTTTTATTAAACCAACAAGATTTTTTGCGAAAGAAGTCTTTAATTGCAAGCTTTCAGGCACAAACACTCTTCATCAGGCATTGGAGAAAAGATTGTAAAAGTTCTCCTGGGTAGAAATGAAAGTTCATATTTCATAGGATTTCACAGAGGAGTCAATAGATGGAAAACTCCTCTGGGCAGTCAGTTCACAGGAGTTATTGTACCTTAGAAGTGAAATGTCATTTATTATAGGAAACTAAGCTTTGAGGCTTTTTTCTTTTTAAATTACTACTGCATATGTTTCTGTCTGAACGTCATTTCACTGGCTTATGCATTAGTCCCTGAGCTTGGGGTAGTCTGTGTTTAAAACCTTTCTAGTTGATACGCTACCTTATTTTAGATGACATGACTCGTAACAAGTGTTATGCTCTCATGCATCTGAGTTGCTTAGTCAAACTTTTGGGAGTTGCTTATTTTATAGTCAGCAGATTAAGAAAAAGTTCCATGGCTAGAGTCTAAAACACTTGATATCTTAAGGACTTAAAGCTTTGGCAGCTTTTTTTGTTTGGGGTTTTTTTGTGGGTTTTTTTTTTTTTTTTTTTAAACAAGACGTACAGATAGCTAGCAATCTGATCTGAAAGATACAGGATTTGCTTGCTACAAATCTAAATGGATTTAAGTCAGTGTACTTTGTATTTCCTCTCTGGAGGCCTAGGGTGACATCTTGACCAAAATGAAGACAGTAGGACCAGGGTTTCACTCCTTGTAAAACATCAGCTGGATATTAATTTTATGGCATCAGATTAATCCTTGGCTGACATCTGTCTATTACAAAAATTACCAGGCAGTCTTGACAGTGAGGATGGTGTTGACTCTGGGCCTGTCTGTGCTATATTTGCCTGTATAGCCTATGGATCATGCCTTCACTATTCTGAATACTGACCTTGTAGTTTTAAATACCTGTTTTAAATTAATCAGCACTGTACATTTAATAGGAAAATGTTTAACATAAAAACAATTTTTAAGTTGGCAATTTTAACAGAAAGCAGAGTTAAGCATTCTTGGGATTTTTGTCAATCCTAAAATATTATGGGCTGTTCTAACAAAAACATTTGCTTGTGCTTTTACTTAAACTAGCACAGATGTGCAGTGCTTAGATGTTCTTGTGTTTCCTTAACATATCTTCAAATCATACAAAATAAAAACATTCTATTCATTCCTCTCTTTTTGCAAACTACCCTGAGCTATTGATGTTGACACAAGATTGATATGGTGATAGAAACTTGCCAAACCAGCTATAGATGAGTTTGTTTGAAAAGCCTCATGAAATTTATATGCCTTTGCTAGTAGGAACATGTTTTAAATGGTTCTATTCAATTCATTTTCATGAAGAAAGACCTTTAGGACTGCAGATCTCAACTTCTGACTAAAATATTCTGCAAACTTCCTGCTTTTGGCACTTCCAGGCTCTTAATAATTTTAAGGTAACATTCATTGAATGGGATTTAATTACTGGCTATATGGGCAAAGTACTACAACAAAGTAATAGTTACAAATAATAGTGCCAAATCTTGTGGCCCTTTCTGCAGTAAAAATCCTATTTTGCAGTCTTCCTGGAATAAGGAGCTACCATTTAGAAGGTGCATATTTTTTAAAACTTAAACAAAATCCTGCTATACTGTACTGTGGATAATATCTCTCACCCTTTCTCTTCCCTTGGTTCTTTGAAGTTTGTATGCTTGCATGAAAGCAGTGTTGCTTTTTCATAAGTGTTCATCTGGTGCTGCTGTTACATACTTGAAGTTTTATTAATTTGAAATAGAAAGCAACTGTTTTGTAAATGATTGTGGTATCAGAAGATTAAGGTGAGGAACAGTGAACTTCAGAAACGTGAGCTCTTTAATGTCTTGCGTTTCCTTACCATGTGTATATAAGAAAATCAGGTACAGTTTGGAGAATTGTACTCAGACTTTCTGTGTGAATGACTTTTTGTATTAAGAACGTAGTATTTTATTTTTAGGGCTTTGGGAAGATTAGGTGAAAGTATACAGTAATAAAACAGTTACTTCAGTTAACATAGTAATGAAAACATGGAAAGAAGTTTTATTTTAATCAAACTCTAGTTGAATTTTTAAATCCATGATTAAATATTTAGCTACTGTTGTAAGGGTGATCATGTGTGTATGGCTATAGTCTACATGTAAATGGAACAAAGCAACAGTCCTTCATAAATCATACTTAAACAGTGCAGTGGGTAAAGTATGTCAAATAGTCATAGAACATAGAGCTGAAAGTAGCCTCATGTTCAATGTGTACATTTTCCTGCATCACTTTTGTAAGGTAATCAGACTCTGTCTTACAACTCTGGTTTCTCACTGTCATTCATATTGGAAGGCTTCAGAAACTTGGTCTTCCAATGCCTGTCTTGGAACTTGGTCTTCTAAAGTCCGTTATCCTAAATACCTTTTCTGCTTCCATGTCATTTACCTGGTGTGTGTGTGTGTGTGTGTGTGTGTGTGTGTGTGCATATACAGAGAGTAATCCTGTTTTGGTAGGCTGAGTGAACCGAACTCTTTGTCTGCTTTTGTAATTTCCATTCTGGTAGCCTTTCTCTGCATGTGTTCCAGTTTGATTAATTTACCTTTCTTGAGTGTCAGTGACTAGAAACATACATAGCTCTGCAGGTGATGGCTCACGTGTGCCTTGTAGAATGGCATTTACAGTAATTTTCCCTGTCCCTACTAGAAATACCTTCTCTGGTACACTTTACCTCAACATGCATTTGCCTCTTTCACGTCACACTTGTGGTTTATAGTTATTCTGTGATTTCATTAGTTGACCCAGGTCTTTCTCCTCTAATATTTGCAACTGATAAGTTTCCAGTTCATAGTAGAAATTCTTTTATTAAAGGGTATTGCTTTTTTTTTTTTATTTTGCTCTAATACATTTAAAAAATAAAATTTTGAGGAACATTAAAAAAAACAACCCTCTATGAAGTAAATTTTGTTTGTTAAACTGATAAAACCTCTTTTGAAGTAGGAAAGATCTTCGTTTCTTAGTGAATTCAGTTTTGTTGTAGCAAAAATCTCAGTACTTTGCTATATCCTTGTTCATTTTTTAAATAAACTATCAAAATAAAAGTTTTGAAATCATTGTGCTTAGATGCATGAAATATAAAACAGATGCTGTCTGTTGTTTACAATATTTACACTGGTAAAATACTTTTACTTTGTGAATACAGTCTCTATCACTATGCAGTCTTGTACAGAACATTTTCTTGGCATAGAGTTCTTGTCTACTAGTTTTGAGCTATATCAGTTTGTGTGTGTGTGTTAATCTCTAGAGCCCTGGAATAAAACCGAGTCACAAGTAAGTGTTTTAGTTTCTTTTTTTCTGATGTGTTGCAAAATCATCACAGAATTTGGTATGACTGGCTTAAGGGGAGCCAGGACTGAATAACCAAATATTTGCAGATCTGAAGTAAAGGCCTTGTCAACACTAAAAATCTAACTGGTAAGACTTTTGCTGTCATGAAGTTGCCAGCTTTGTTGTGCTGTTCAAGCATGTATTTGGCTGAGTTTGTTTTTGTTAAGTCCTTGTTGGGTGAGGCTGTTTTTGGAGGGGGGTGGAAAGTGCACCTTGGATAAGAATTGCAGGGTCTGGTGCACTGCCTGCGGGACACTTCTGCAGAGCCTTGTGGAATGGCAGCAGCATCCTCAGAGATTTCTGAGAACACAGAATCAAGTTCCTACAGTTTTTTGTTTTTTTTTTCTCATCTCATAATGAACTATTCTCATACCAGTTGTATAGTTCCTGTAGGTTACTATGGGAATTACTATTTATTATTTTAATTTACTAATTTACTATTTTTCACTCTCCCTGGCATATTGGTGTCAGACCTTAAATATGCAGAATTCTCATCTGTTTTTAGGAACAGGTTGCACGATTC